AATGTACCAAATTTCTTCTACGTGATTTAATAACAAAATCAAAAAAAAAAATAACTTTAATTTACAAAATAAACGTGAAAAATTGTTATCATTTTATTAACGTGATATTATATTTGCAAGCTAAATTCAATTACCTATATACATTTATTAATATTTGGACAATGGACACATACAAATTAAAAGAAACGGTTTCTGTATAATATGTAATGTACCTAAATGTTAATCCTTAAATTTTTTTTTTAATCATCTTGGCATTTTAACATTTAAACACCCCTCAACACTCACTCTAAGCATACCCCTTCGAATTTCGAAAATATGAAATTTAAAATAATATTTATATGTAACTTTTTCTAGAAAACACTGCGTCATTCTATTATTTATAACATTTAAGCACATCTATCATATTGTTTCATTATGTAATCAATTTCAAGATTAAATACATATGTCAATTGACGGGAAATCTGCTAGCTTAATCAAAGTTCAAGGGTGGGGCATCATAGCAATTTTGCATCACGACGATAATACTATAAATTATGTAATTATATTGATTAGAGTTTATGATTTTCAAATTCATATTTTTGAAATTTGAGGCTGTGATATTTCTGTGATCGACGTCACCAAGCTATTAAGACAAATTGTTGTAATAAACATCAAATCGATGTCCTATTAGGTAGAAAGTCGTAATCGACATTTTCATTTTTTTAAAGGAACTAAAAAAACACTTTTAAAATCGAATATCTGATGAATTTTCATGAAAATTCGATGTGTAGTTATGAAAAAATTATTTTGAAAACACAATTACAGAATAAGAAGAATATTTTTAATACTGTGTAACTTATGTTGCTTACAATAATATAAATGTTCGAATATAGCTCAATGGTGCTTACATGTTTCACTTTCGGTGCTTAAAAATAACATTTCGTCATGTAGATTAGTGCATATCACTTACACTAGTCTTTTAAGGAACTTCGTTAAAATGTTATATTATTATAGTCTCAAAGTTATTAAATGTGTTATTGTATAACCAAATTAATTATAACTAAATTTTCATTTTTAATAATCTTATTAACATCCACATGAATGTTGATAGGGTTAGCATAATATAGGTTTATTGTGTAACAAATATTAATTGATTTTTTGCATTAATAATAATTGTAATAGCTGCAGACCTAAAAAAATATATTATTGTAAATGATTTAAATAATTTCATTATCTATCATTTTAAATTTTAAATAGTCAACGTTAATATCGTTGATAACTATTGTTTGTTCCGTTATATATGGTGCAATTTTATATACCTACCAACAATATATTATTATGATTGCGTGAATGTGCAATTATATATATTTTTTTACCATCATATGCCAATGCGACATTATATAATAATACTAATAGTATTTAATTTTCCTAAATAATTGTATAATAAGTTAAATTTAAAATATATAATAGGATGGACGCATAACAAAATGAATTAATCGGTATGAACTGAACGGTAAAAACATTTTTTATATATAATAATATCAATATTTGATGTTGAGTACAATAATTAACACGGGTTATTTAAATGTCGAATTGTTTTCAGAACCAATTTTACATTTATTATTAAGTTTTTGGATAGATTTTAATACGACTGTTAAAAAAACAATTTGTTAATTAATTGCAATCTTGATTAATTAACGTCTGTACATAATGGTTATCTGTATACAGTGTTGGGCGTAATCGATTAATTTACGATTAAATTACGTAATCGATTACGATTACTTTATTAAATTACATTAATCATTAATCGTTTAATCATCTCTCAAAGTAATCAGTAATCATGATTACATATTTGTAATCGTTAATCTTTATCGCAAAACTGTTTTTTTTTTTTTATATGATATTACTTAAAATAGTATGAATTTCCAAAATATCAACGATATTAAGGTCCATTAAGTCTAATTAATTTCATATATCTTATCTTATGCATGTTATAAGGTATTTTTCTATAGATTTTTTCTAGTTGTTATATAGCATGTACCTAAATAAATCGAATTTACTATTTAAATTGTATTATTATTATCATATTATTAATTATATTTATTGATTTCTATTTTCTAATAAGTTAATTAAAAGAAAGTATTTTGTTTATAAGATGCATTTTTTTTATTTTTTTATTGTTAATTTTGCCTTCACGTGTTAAATTTATTTATAACATCGCCCGGAAAGCGAAACCACCGGTTGCCGGATTCGAACCAGTCACCAGTGACTGTCCGACTAGTGTCCGTTTACGCACAGCCGTCTTATGCCGCTCGGCTATGACAGTACTTCAATATATAAGTTATTCAGCCCAAATTCGTTATTGAAGTATCATTAATCATTAATCATTAATCATTAAAAATTAGTCATGATTACGAACTAACATATTTTGTAATCGTAATCAATACTACGATTACATTATGACTTTAATCATCTAAAATAATTTATTATTGTGATTATTGATTACATTAATTTATATTATGATTAACAACTACAATTTTTAATCATAATCTTTAATCATTAATCAGATTACGATTTGCCCAACACTGATACACTGGAGCCCCCTTAAATTGTCTATTAGCTGTATAATTTTCTTTTTTTTTGTCATATACGTTTAACTAGTATAATTTTTTTGGTTTTATTTTTCCGGACTTTCTGTTACATTCGTGTTACCATAAAAACTGAGTAAATATACAGAAAAAGTGGAAATTGTTGAGTATGTATAAAAATATAAAATACAATAATTAAAAAATTGTAAGTTAAAGGAATTTATGATACAAATAGTTTAGTCTTATGTCTAAACAGAATACATAAAATATATGTATAGGGTACTGAGTAATATAAGCAACTGAGTTATACCTAGTTAGTGAACCAGTGCCGGCGCTAGGTATTGAGGGGCCCTGGACATAGGTAAAAGCATAGAACAATGATAAAACTTACCCAGAGGAGGGAAAAATTCTAATTTCAGGATTTTTTTTTAAATTAATGCTGTTTTTATTTGAATTTTGAACATTAAAAATAATAATATCGGGTTATTCTTATCCTTTTTCTTTTTTATTATAATGTGCTAAGGGGGTATGAATAGTATTGAAAAAATCTATAGAAATGTACTATTGTATTTCCAATAATATGGTTTATTGAGCCATTTGAGAGTAAAAACACCTATTATCAGTATTGTATATGAGAAGTTAGTTGATCTGTGCCTGTATAGAAGTCAATTTTTGATATTTGTAATAACTAAACTCAATAATTCAAATTCAAAAAGTAAAATATCACAAGTTTTAGAGTTTAATATTGGACGTTGAAAATAAAATATCGAAAATCGACTCCAATAAAAGCCTAGATACACTTCTTCTCTTCAATTTGTATAATAGGTGTTCATACTGTAATGTCACTCGGTAAGCTCTATTATTGGAAATACGAAACTAAGTTTCAGTGTTTCACTAAAATTCACATTTGTAATTAGAGTGTAAAATGTTTGCGTAACCGACATGACGTGAGTGTACGTGTGGGTGTGCTCCACTATTAATTTTATACACAGTCACTCACACTAATAATAACTTACTACTTAATTTACACGATCCACACAATTAGAAAATTGCCTATATTGAACTTCTTAGAAACGGTCGGTATGCATAACCCTTAAGAAAAAAATTATTTACAAATAATAAAATAATATGTATGTGTTGAAAATTATAAGTTAATAAATTCGTGGGGACTTATTATTTTATTAATTTATATTTATTTTAATAATTACAACTTATAAAAACATCAAAACATCAAAATGTTTGAATGATATAACAAAGTGTTTAATATTTAAGTAGGTACACGGCGGCGGTAGACAATAAAATACATAATGTTATTTAATACGGCTATACTGACATACTGTACATAAACTAAATTGTAATAATAATTTCATAAAATGAAAACTTACTTTTATGATATTATGAAGAAATTTTTGAAAAAATATTGTAAGGTGCAAAGCGGATTGATACTCGAATGTTGAATATATATTATAACACTAGATAATCAAATAAATGTTATAACAATATAGCTCTTGCCGCTTCTATTTCAAAGTTTTTAACCAACCGAAAAAATATTGATCGACAAAAATAATTGAAAAAAACTAACAAAATTTAACTAAAATATCTTATCCTTATAAATAACTCAAAAACAGACAACATATTTTAAATAATATCATTAATCGAAACTAGGCCATATTATAAATATTCTGTGAAAATAAAATAATAATTATAATAATAATTTTATGTGCCATTATTCCTTATTTGAACCATATTCACTATTGTCTATAATATACAAAAGTATTTAAGTTTTTGTTTGGAATTTCTTTGGGCACATAATTCATAGAATAATATTAGCTACTATAAAGATGGTACATTATATAAATGGAATCAGAAAAAAAGACCCTAGATAAAGTCCCCGATAAAAATGTCTCAAAAAGATGTCATTGAAAAATTACTTTAATATATAAATATTTAAATAAGTGTATTGTGATATTGATACGCTAAAAAAATCCATTACTTTTTAACAGAAATAGGTCGAAATATAATTTTAAACTTGGTATCATTATTTATCATTAGATATTATCATTAGATATTATAATATTGATATTATTGTGTACGTTAAAATAAAAATAATAAAAATGAATAAAGATTTTACAAATGTTTTCAATTAAATATAGGCAATAGATGTTATAGGTTTTTATAAAAGAAAATACTAAATTATAGTTAATTTTTTGTATCAACATACTAAAAATAAATAAAGAATTATAATTTTACAAACATTCTGAATCCTATTTTTTATACATTTATATTTTAAATACCATCCTAAAATTGTACAAAAAACATGTTCGTGGTTTTAATAACAAATTACTTACATCAAAAAACAGTTATATTTCGTCACGGCACAGAAAAAAACTTGCTAACTCATCTAAGTAACTCATCCTCAAAGTTAATTTTTTTTTATGGTTTCGTACGTTTTGGCATAGATTTTACATTTTTGTTTACTGTTGTAGATGTCATGGATGTTTCCAAAACAGGATTTGAATTAGTGATTTCATCATTGACACAATTCCCTTCAATTAAATCCTCCTCCACTGTTTGCAACTTGCCTTTGTCTTGTTCGTCCTCAGTCTCCTCTTCGTCACTTTCGTGGTTAAAATTTCCCTCTGTTCTGATATGCATACAATTAATTATAAATTAGAAAATTCTTATATGCATTAATGGTATGATTATAAATATTATATAAGGTTAACTATTTATGTGTAATCGAAGTATATATTTACTTTCTATTTTCCATTGTTGGTCGCAAGAACTCTAAAATTTCCGAGAATACGTATTTTTTTTTTTATTAGCTGCCTGGCCAGACTTTGTAATACATTTTTTTTTTGTATGTGTCTCGCAAGTTTTTCCACTTTTTTTGCAATTCAATGACTACAATGTGAAAATACATAGATTAATATAAAGTTAATGTCCTATACCTATGCATTGTCAATAATAATTTTATAATATTTATTATTTAATTATTTATAAATTAACGTAACTGGGATTTGATTAAAAGTAACTCATTATTATTATTTTTTAGGAAAAATGAATTTAACCAACTGTAGTAAATACTCATGCCTAATACTAAAATTAATAAAATTATTTTATTCACAATAATATCATCAAATACACTTAGTGAGATATTATAGACTGACTGACTGTCTTCGCTCAAAATTGTTTTTCCAATGTACTTATAGAATCTAAAATATTTACATGAATATTTACGCAACAACAATTTTGAATAAAATCAAATTAATACACTAAATAAATAAAATAATTGTTATACATTTTATATTATACATTTTTATTAAACAATGATTTTTAATCGAGTTCAAATTTAATAAATCCATTAGACACAACTTATACAAGTTTAATATGTTGTTTTTTTTATTTAGATACTTGGCTACTGGGACAAATTTTTCGTCTTTACATTTCGACTTTTTGATGGGAGTATCGACCATAGCCAAAGTAGTTAATGAAATGTGTATGGTGGTTTGGGATGAGTTACAACCCACTGAAATGGCACCACCCACTCAAGAAAATTGGTTGGAAATAGCGGATGGTTTCTAAAATATAACTCAATTACCTAATTGCGTTGGAGCTGTCGATGGTAAACACATCCGGTTGCAATGTCCAAAAAACAGTGGTACTCAGTATTACAACTATAAGAATTTTTTTTCTTTGGTTTTAATGGCAATCTGTGATTCAAATTATTGTTTCACAATAATCGATGTAGGCTCTTTTGGGAAAGAGAGCGATTGCAATATTTTGAAACAGTGCCCTTTTGGAAAAAAATTATACGCTGACAAAATAAATTTCCCTCAAGATAAATGTCTACCTGGTGATGAAGATGGTGTTGCTCAGCTATTCGTACTTATAGCAGATGAAGCATTTGCGTTGAACAAACATTTATTACGACCTTTTCCTGGTAGAACTTTAAACGATAACAGGAGAATATTTAACTATCGTCTTTCCAGAGCAAGGCAAAAGATAGAATGCACTTTTGGAATTTTGTCCAACAAATTTAGAGTTTTCCATTCTACTCTACTAGTAACACCAGATGTTGCTGTGTCTATTACTAAGGCAGCATGCGTATTACATAATTTTGTACGTCATAGGGATGGTTTTAATTTTGAGGACACTGTTAGTTGTGAAATGCCCCATATATCAGAGAGAATAGGTGTTGGAAATGTATCTTTAAATGCCAAAGATATAAGGGAGTATTTCGTAAAATACTTTAACAATCCAAAACATGCGCTAAGCTTGCAGAATAAGGTATTAGGTTAAACACGTTTATTTCATGCATGCAGTAGGTAGGTAATAAAGTAATATTGCGTCATAATTTTAAATGTTAACGGTCTACGTTTTTATTGTTATACTATAAAGTATGTTAATTTAACTAAATTCATTTGTATGCTAAACATATGTTGTATTCACTTATATTATATAATATTTAACATTAATAAGTTGGATGACATCTACGATATACTAATAAGTGCTTACATTCATTATTCAAATTGTACCTATTTGTTACATATATTAGATATATTATTATATTATTATGCAATATATTATATTATTGTATTTATTATTAATTCTTATTATTATTATTAATATCATTACTTATATAAGATTAAATATTATTATAATTTTTTCAATATCTACATTAATACAAATATTTATAGTAATATTATTTCATTAGTTCTTGAAAGTTGTAATATACATTTTAAAATAAATTAATAGATTTTAGGATGACTATACTTACTTTTTTCTCTCTTCCCAGTTTCGTCGAGACTGTCAAAATCATTTAAAGTATCCTTTGCAACCCTGGACCAACTTTTATATTTTTTAATCTTGTTGTGATAATCTTTTGATTCTAAATTTAGCATGTAGATTTCATTGTACACGTCATTTTAATCAAGTATTATGTATAAATAAATAATTTAGATAATTTATGAAGTGGTCTATAATAGCTACTTAACAAAAAGTTAATTTAAATACTAAAAACAGTAAAAACTATGCAAAAACACATAAAAATGTAATGAAAATCTAAATAAATGTACATAATGAGTATTGAGTGGTAAAAATTATACTTACCTAAATTCCAAATGGACTCTTCTTGAGATATCTCGATAATAAAATGTTCCAAATCAAAAGAGGAACTCATATTTGTATTCAAATTTAAAATTTGTATTAAATATTATGATAATAATCATGGTTTAAATATACAAGGTTATTGGACATATCCCATATTGTTATCAAATAAAAATAAAATGGCAGCGTAAGGGTACGGTCCATATCATGCATATAATATCATAGTATAGCCAGTATACGTCGTCCCCTTACGCTGCCATTTTAATTCCTTAACGTGATAAAATTATATAGTTGGGGTACTATTGCAATAACCTTGTATATTTAAGCCATGATAATAATATTCAAATGACGTAGTAACAGACCGTTTTCCTACAACTATGATATTAAAATGAAAATTTCCGAGAAATCGCTCGCTAACGTTCGCCCGGTGTGCATAGACCCAGTCAAAACAACGTGATTATTTTTAGCCGTCTGAGGCGAATGTTCGCCTAAAATTAAACATGCGCGATCAATCGTGGACGTTGGCGGATTTTATCCGCTCGGTTTGCATGGTGTAATTGCTCTAATCTAAAATAGGTTGTTTAATTTCACTCGAATGTTCGCCGCGGATAAAAACCGCGACCGGGCGCGAACTAATCGCCTAGTGTGTAACCAGCTTAAGAGGTCCGGTTGTGGTTAGGTTATTAATTAATAAAGTATGGTCAGACTTTTGTCTAAAAAAAAACCAATACCCTATTGATCCCCATAACATTATTTTTACGCAACACAGACCACAGTTTAATTATATTTGATAGGTATTATAAGTATTTATAACGCTCAAATTTCTTATTTACTTAACTATACTATATAGTACTACTTACTTACAATTATTCCCAACAGAACAGTGTTCGTTTATCACCGATATATTTTTATATTTTAGAAATAAAACACTAATCGAGCGTCGTAATAATCGTCTAAGAAAGCAAAATTGCTTGTTACTAAATACTGCTGGAATTTCATTATAGAGACGCCACGAAAAAAGATAAACGTCGTCCGATGCAGCCACAGATATAATGTATAACATTTATATCAATTTTTATATCTGTGGGTGCAGCCGATAAAAAACGTTTCGGTGGACGCCGAACGGACCTCGGTCTAATCGATTTCACATGTAGCGATTTTCTTTTTTTGTTGTAATTCAAAAACAAATAACTGTACATACATGAAAATTACACTGAATATTTATATTAGTATTTCCTATACACCATACAATATTCAAAATATTTTGACTCTTTTTGAGCTGTTTACGGACATTTCCAGTTTTCATTTTTATAAAATTAAGGCTGCAATTTTAAACGATAAAAAATATAATATTGTGTCATATTTTGAATATAATGAATCATCTCATATTTTATTATAATAATAGAATATCGTATCCAACGTGAATGATAAGTTTATGTAATTCAGCGTTTTTAAGTTTATCCGTGGAACCCTTTTTTATGTCTACTTTTATCGTGGAGCCCCTACTTTTTTTCTAGCTTTTTAGATTTTTTTATTTAGCTTTCAACAGTAAGTTATTATAGTTCGACAATCATCAGAACCTATATATTTTGTTTCAATAGTTGTAATGTGTCATTGGATTATTTGCAATAAAAATTATAATAATTTCATTTAATAATAACTGTGTACCTATACACACTATTCTGTATTTAAGTCAAAAAATATTTTGAATAACAGAACTTGTATATTTTAAATTTAATTAGATGAGTGAAAGTACTTTTTATTGTTACAAATGTTCTTAATATCGGGATTTTTTGATGAAAATTGTAATCTCGCATATTAGGTTCGGCATCAAGTCTGTTGCGGTATTTGTTTTTGATGGTACATAGGTGTTGAACCCCGTTTCACACATACGAGTGGTTGCAAATGGTTAAAAGTGCCAACACGGCCTTTTGTGACAATCAAGGATATTCATCCTTTGAAATGCACCGACATTTAACACAGAGATCGATTTAAAATGTTGAAAAAAGAGCTGAAGTTTCGCGGAACCCTGGGATTCCGCGCAGAACACAGTTTAAGAAACGCACTCATGGGTAATATCATTGATTATAAATACTATAGATAGCTCACTGCAGTACAAAATACGCTGCGCGCTAAATGGCGAGTAACGCTACGGGGCGCTCCACTCGATATTTAGTTATGGCGTGTACCGCAATAATCGCTAGTATAGTTCATAGGAGTAGGGATTAGTCTTGAATTTTTCACTGTAGAGACAGACGTACATATTGACCTATCTTGGTTTCAATTCTCGGAGCGTCTACTAAGACATTAGACAATACTCGTATAATACTATAATGTAAACTTGGTACCTAACTTGTCGTTACACTGGCGCACTACCAACGATTACAAAATAATAAATATTAAATACCTATCCATAATAATATAATCCTAGATGGGTGGCCTCCTTTTTGGCCAAAATGTACCCTTTCCATTTCAGCTAGTAGTACAGTTTTCTTTACAATTTACAATTATAACAATAGAACTTAACAATTTAAGCTGGAAGTAAAACGGTGACACCCCCCCCTCCACCCCATTAAATAGGTTGAATATTTATTTTTAAATCAGTCCCTAATTATTAAAATATATTAACTAGTTATTGTATAGTCATATTTATGTTTAATGTTTATAGTATGTATATTAGTATATTTGTATGTACATTTTTGTTAAAACACATTAGTACATTACGCATTTACACATGATATTTACTATATTATAGTATAGTCATTGTCATCAATCATCATATATATTTTCTAAATTGAAATATTATTCCATAAATAAAAATATTATTATACCTGCAATAGACTTCACGTTACACTCAATGCGAAGTATTTTTGGCTCTTTTAAATTATACCATTGATTATAAATAGTATCATTAAACTATTTACTATTTATAATCAGTGCTTGTACGCTTGTACAAAATATTGGAATTTTATTATATTTATTCTGAGTATACATGCGGAAAACATGCGCATTACGGACGTACAAATCGAACGATACTCGTTGATCATTCAAATTGTGTTGTTCTCAAATAATTACAATGTCTAGTGACACATGTTCATATTTTAACTGCACAAATACACGTAGAAATACATCAAATATAATATTTCATCCTTTTCCATCAAACGAAGAAATGTCCAAAATATGGATAATTAATTCTGGTAAGTAGCCAAGTAGATAATTAACATTCGTAATTTATCTATAATATAGGTAAATAAAATCTGCAATAATATGGAAAAACATTTTTTAATTTAGGAAATATTAAACTAGAATCTCTAAGTCCCAAAAAGTTAAAAAAGAAGTTTGTATGTTCATCTCATTTCGAAAAAAATGCCTATTCTAATCCCACAGACCCAAAATCACGACTAAACCGTAATGCAGTACCAAACAAATATATAAGTAAGAAAAAATCATATTTTTGTGTATTTTATTTTTGACACATGCAAATAATATAAATTAAAAAATGTTAGATGAGTTAATAGATGATAATGTTCCCGAAACAAATACGACTGTTGAAAAATCACCCATAAATTGGACATGGCAGGTATCAAATCAAAATACTACCGAAGGTAGGTATACATATTATTATATATTTTAAATATATTTATTTTACAATGTTGTGCAGTTGTAGAACAGAGCGATGAATGTATTGATTTTACAATAATGCGTGTTTAATTTTTTTTAATATTAATTTTTTTTTGTGTCTGTGTACAGTGTAGTTTTTAAACGAAACTAAGTTTTCGAGATCAACTTTGGTTATTGGTGTAACTGTAAAACAAATGACCATACATTTATGAAATTTTCACTGTTTATAACATTAGCATTTACAATAATCGATACTTACAATTTTCAAAATATTTTCATTTGTTTTGACCTGTTTCAGTATCCAATTTTTTTCGGTTTTTTTTTCTATTGATGTCAATAAAATTATATATGTTGGGTAAAAAAGCTTGAAATTTAATATAAGACTTCTAATATACTGTAACAATGGCAGTTGAAAAATATCACAATTTTTTTTTATAAACATTTAAAGTTTGGATTTTGATAAAAATTCATCAAAATATCGAACATTCGCAAATTATTTTGTAGTTAAAGATTTATGAAATTTCCAGTCTATATAGCTAAGGTTAGAAAATTTAAAACAAGGTTTCTTGTAACTACCTAGTGAATAATATAAATAATAATATAATAATATATTTATTTAAATTTAACACTTTTATTTATTTTTAGGCGCATACACACAAGTTGATGAAACAATCATAACGACACCAAAAAAATCACGACATCGTCGTCAACAATTTACAGATGAAATGTTTGAAGGTCAGTATAATTTAAATTTATAGTTAATTTTTAGTTGTTACTAAAGAATGACAACAACACGAGTATGATAAAATCTATTTTACTATACTTATATTTTTAATTTTTAAAAATTTGTAAATTTTAGATTCAGAGTGAAGTGATGAATTTATTGATTTTACAATGATGTGTGTTTTTTTAATTTTTTAATTTTTTAAATGTTTTTTGTTTATCATCACCTTTTAGGATAGTAAAAATACTTAGATTTTCTTCAACGGTATCTTTTCTGATAGGACAGTAAATCTAGTTGATACTTTGTGGCCAGTAGTTTTCAAAAGCGCCATGAAAAACAAAAGAAAATTTAAGGAAAAACGGGAATTTTTATAGTATACAGGATATAAAAAAAAAAAATAAAAAATAAAAAAAAAATAAACATAATCGTAAAACCATTAGCTTCCTCGCTTCACTCAGAATCTAAAATTATAAAATATTCAGATTATAAAATTAAGGGGCGGTTTGCGTTTGGGCGAATTTTTAAAAAATGCTATGTGTTTGGGCAATTTTACATAATGCGTTTGGGCGATTGATTTTCAAGCATTGTAATGTGTTTGGGTGATATTTTTTTAATATCCTGGAATGCTGCATTTTATCAATCAATTTTCTCTCTCGTTTTGACAGACTTGGGTTGTAAATGAATTCCACGGGTATGATTAAAAGTAGATTGTTTTTTTTTGTGGGTGATTAAAAATTGAAATGATTGAAAATCAAGTTAAAATATTAATAAAATTGAAAAAATTATATTATGTAAGTTATTATATATCAGTGTGTGTAATACAAAATTAATATGATGTGCCATATTTAGATTGATATAAAATTCGCTATAGATTTTATATATTTTTTTTTCTCTTAATCATTACAAACTTATAACTTTATCTTTTACATTGTATCATACTCGCTTATACGAAACTCGCCCAAACACATTACTTTTATTGTGTGGGTAAAAAGGTGATTCACCCAAATGCATGACGCCCTTAAGGGTCTCTTAATTAAGGGTTGAAAATTTAAAACATATATGAAAATTTTAGAGTATTTATTTATTTATATATTTTATATATTTATATATATTTTATAAACACAATGACTTTTTCAAATGTAATTCTTTTTGGGAAAACGAAAAATTTAATATCATAAAATATTATGTCTACCTATTAATAGTAATATAATATTACTAATATTATAGGCTGACATACCGTCTTCGTTCAGAATATTTTTTCGTATACAATAATATTATATCATTGAATTCAAATTTAGTACCATCCATTTCAGTAACCTATTGTACAGCAAAGTGACATCCACTTGCCCAACATTTTTCAACTAAATGTTGTGGAAAAAATTTAAAGCGTTTGGTTTAATTTTGGAAGAATTATTACATAGTTTTGGGTAATATTTCTTGTATATATTTTTAATTTGTAAATCATTTTGTTTAAGGGTTAACACCTTCACCAAAAACTTTGAAAGTAATGACACCAAATCGTAAATATGAAGTTTCTGATTCTTGTTCAGATATTCGAGCACCTGGTTCACTAATTTTTGAAAACAGTCCATCATCGAGTTCAATAGCTACACCTACAACTAAATCTTGGGTCTAAGCACTAATCGATTTTCCCAGTCCTATGCCAAAAATGAGACAAATAAAAAGCCCCAAGAAAAGCCCACTTCAACAAGAGTTAATTAGGATTCAAAAACTTTTAAAAAGAAAACGTTCTATTATTTCGGCATTAAAACAGAAAAAAACAAACAAAAAGCAGAAATCTAATGTGAATGATTTATTTAAAACATTTAATTTTCCATCTAAAAACTCAAGAAGTTTAGTATCAATGCAATTGTTACACAAGAATCGTAAACCTTGGTCATCTAATGAAAAAAAAGTTGCACTATCTTTATATTATAAGTCACCTTCGACTTATAAATACATGCGAAGGACTGGAATTGTATTGCCGGCTATGAGTACAGTGACACGTTGGCTACGGTCGATTAACTATTCCACTAGATTTTCGGCCAAATATTTAGAACAAATAAGGTTAAAAGTTTTAAATATGGATTATAATGAAAAGAAATGTGTTCTTCTATTAGATGAAGTTTCTATAATGAAAACTTTAGAATATAACAAGATTTTGGACGAAATAGAAGGGTTTGAGGATTTAGGTGATATGGGACGTACTGAAAAACTTGGTTCTCACGCGTTAGTAATTATGGTTCGTGGTCTTTACAAAAATTGGAAATTGCCTTTATCATATTTTTTTACTGGCAGTGGAGTTAAAGGTGATACTTTAGTCGAAATTGGTAAAAATTGCGTCAAAAATATTGTGGATATTGGTTTATTGCCAACTTGCATTGTATGTGACCAAGGGACACAAAATCGTCGGATGTTTTCGTTGCTAGGTGCATCTCAAAATAATCCTTCAACTGAAATATGTGGTAAAAAATTATTTCTTATTTACGATATGCCACATCTTATCAAGAGTTTAAGAAATAATCTACTATCTGGTGATTTTAAAATTGGTAATAAAGTTGTGTCTATAAATGATATTAAAAAAACGTATGAAATTGACAGCCAAAGTAAAATAGCAAGAGCTATGACCAAAATAACACCAACTCATCTATCTCCTAACCCTTTTCAAAAAATGTCCTGCAAGTTAGCAATCCAACTCTTGAGTAATTCTGTATCTGCAGCTATAAAAACATGTGTGGCTACTGGGCAACTAAAATCGAATACAGCACTACATACTTCAGAATTTATTAATGTCATAAATAATATGTTTGATTCGGCAAACAGCAAAAATTTATATGACCGAAATCCAAACAGAAGACCTTTAAGTCCTAAAAATTCAATAGTGTTCGACAACTTGAAAAAAGCACAAGCTTTATTTAAAGAAGCGGTAAAAGTATCTATGCCATAAGACAAAAAAAATCAGTACGCCCCCTTGTTTTATTGAAATAATTTGGACGACAACTGCTATTTTAGAATTATACGAACAAGAAAAAGTAGACATGCAAATCTATCGGCCAAATAAAGACAATTTTTTAATGACAAATCGACTAACTCAAGATATATTAGAAAATCTATTTTCAGTAATACGACAAAAAAATGGCTACAACAGAAACCCCACAGCCCCCACGTTTCGCTGTGGTTTTGGGCATATATGTACATATAGTTTGATGAAATGTTTGACAACATGTTGTAATAATAATTGTGAATCGGATGACGATGAATTTATAACTGTTGAAGTATTGAAGGATGTTCCTGTAGAAAACTTAATTTTATCAGAAAACGGTGAATTGTCAAATGAAAATTATGTTCACGAAACAACCGGTTCTGACAATAGTTCAAAGTCAAATGAAGGTATTTATGATGTTGACTTATCACTGGAGACGTGTTCAATAACTTATTTTTCTGGTTATTTAGCAAAAAAATGTTTTGATAAATTTAATTGTGCCAACTGTAATTTAATCAAACCAAATGAACACTTAGCTGACAAAAAAGAACTTTTAATTATACACAAGGTGTTCGATCATGTGCAACAATCACAAGGCTTAAAAGCTCCATCTGATGAGCTAACACAAATAGTGACAATATGTTTAAATATATTTAAAAATACATTTCCTAAAATTAAGAGCTCAAAGCAAATTTTAAAACAACTTTTGCATAAAGCCGAAAGACAAATAAATAATCATTTTTTGGTTTTACAAAATTCGTGTAAAGATCACTATGAATTTATTTTACAGTTGCTATTTAGGACACGCATTTATAAGGAATGTAAGTGGATTAATGCAAACCTTGGAAAGCGAGGTTATCAAAATGCCGCCAAATTGCGAATATTTGAAAATAAATAGGTAAATTATAATTTTGTAATTAATGTTTTGTTATGTATGCAGTGTACAAAATAAGTAATTTATTATAATATTATTACATAAACAGATTTGAAATAATAGGTAAATAAAGTTGAAGATAAACTCAATTGTTTTGTTAATTTACAATTCTTCTTGTATTTTTATTATGAAAAAAATATAATATTTTTGCTAGAATTTTATTAGAAGTTAAATTTTAATAAAACAATAAATTGTAAAATACGCTTAGTCACTGGTCACAGGCGTAAGTACGGTGTCACAGTGGTAATATAAGTCAATAACAGTAAAAAAAATTATTTATTTTGCAGGGTAATGATGTATTTATTATTTCCAGTGTACAAATTGCATTAGTCGTAAAATCAAAAAACATTTGAATGAGTTTAATTAATTTTTTTTATTTTTTAAACACTTGATTTTTGAATATGTTGATGAAAATATTTTAGTCATGGTTTAAGAAATCCTTCTAGTTTATTCATTCTGTTATGACTTTTGTGTTATTAGTTTCGACGTATTTCAAAAGTATTTTAAATGTTCACAAGCCAGTAGGTAATCGAATTTCATGTAAAAGATTTTATGTGAACAAATTTCTGGTCTGAACTCATCGCTGAAAGGTTTGTATTTTGATTCCTAGCCGCCAGAGGCGACGACGTCCGTAAATGCAATCGCTGAACTACTGGCTACTGCGGTCTGCGACGCCGCCGCCGACGATGTTTGACGACGACGCACGACAACGGTTTTCCGCGGTGACGGTCGGCGACGATTACGGCGATTAGAAATAATTATTTTATTTTATTATAGGCCGAATACCTTAGCGCTCTCTATTGGGAGTAATTACGGCGCAGCGTATTATGTACTGCAGTGAGCTATCTATAGTATTTATAATCAATGCTAGTACCTACCACATAAGTCATAACACTAAATAATACATAAGTTAGGTAAGTACCTACATCAATTTATTATTATTATTTGTACCTATTGTTACAAAAATAAAGTTAGATAGGTACTAGAAACAAAAAATTTATTATTCTATATTGTAGTATTGTACTACCATTGATTAAAGTATATACTTAATCAATGGTAATACTTTTTAAATTAAATTTGTTTAAGAATAATGTATTTAATAGAAATAGTAACACAGATTTGCAATATAACACTTACAATGGTATCCCGTCATTTCGTCGTGGTAATTTCGTCGCGCGTCAATTCGTCGCGGTCATTTGGTCACACGACAATTGGACGCATACGACATTTCGTCGCGTGTAATATCGACGCATGCTACATTTCGTCGCGAGTCATTTAATCACATATATTTATATAGGTACCTATATAGCTATAGCTAGTATTAGATAAAATAGATTACCTTGTCTTTTTGGGTAGGAACATTTAATAATATAATCTTATATAATAAAACGCTAATAACGCGTATAAGATCCGCGGGGAGCGCTCACGGCACTCCGCGTTTCTTCCATGACGACCAATCACAATACTTCCCGCGCGTTCGCTATAAATTCCGCTCGCTTATCTCCTCCCTTTTCCTTATCAACGAATATTTTCGAACATTATTATTATTATTAAAAAAAAACCCGTGTTTTTCAATTTTTTGACGTGATAATAACGTCTTATAAATCGATTACCCCGCGACCGTCGGGCGGAGTGGGGGGACCCATTAAACGAGTAATTATTTTTGACGAAGTATAACTTAGCCGGTATTCGACTTAGAGACCCCGTACCAATGGGCATCTCAATTTTTTAGGCCCCAGATGAATTTTCAACATTAGGGAACCAAAGCCCCCACCCCCCCCACATTTTGAGTTGAGTATAACTCGGCCGGAATTCAAGTTGAAGACCTCGGACCAAGGGGGAACCCATTCTTTTTATGAATACTACCGTTTTCCGCTTTAGGGAACGGGGGCACCTCCTCCCCCCCTTTTTGGATTTTGCTTTTTTGATGGATTTTGGTCCGGGAGAGTACTGACACCCACCTCGCCAAGGGGAAACTCGGGGTTTTGACTTTTTGATAGGATTTATTGGGATTTTCTTAAATATTGTTTTTATTGATAAGGAAAGTGATAAGAATTTTATTTTATCGCCGCGAGCACGGCGACGCGGCTTAAGAGTCATACATTTGCCTCGAAATTTCATCTGAGTAGGTGGCTAGGTTGGTTAGGCGTTAGGATAGGTGACTCGAGGGTCGTGGGTTCGAAACCGCCGTCCGGGATATTCGGTTATTTGCGGCGGCCGTACTAAATCGAATTTCTTATTTTTGCGTTTTTTTTTTTCGTCACATTTATCATTTTTAACGAAAGTGTTAATTTTTTTTTTAAATTTGCATTATATTATTATATATATTATTATTATTCGTTTGACGATATTTATTGGGCAAAAAAATAATTAAAATTAACATTTAATTAATACTTGATTTTACCGACGTACCTACATGTTTCTTTTATTAACACATTATAATAACGTATAACTAACCTACGTGTAGTACCTACTTGATATATTACAGTTTTTACGTGATTCCGATTTGGTTAAATACTGCTACAGATTATAAATACTATATTAAAAAATAGTACGACTATATTTGCCGTTTTTTTTCGAAAATTCGAGTCCCGGGGTGGAGTAGTGTGTCAGAAACGAGAGTAGGTACCGTGTAGGTATCGCTATATACAGGCATATATACATGCGCCTCGAGGTTCGATTTTTTTCGCAAATCTCGCGTCTTGAACGTCCGAAGGTGGCGGACATGGTGGTCCGCTCAAACGCCCTTAAGAGTCATAGATTTGGCTCCTAATTTCATCTCGGTAGGTGGCTAGGTAGGTTAGGCGTTAAAACGGGTGATTCGACGGTCGTGGTTTCGAACGCCGGCGGGGCCGTGTTAAATCGAATTTCTTTTTTTTGCGTTTTTTTTTTCGTCACATTTATCATTTTTAACGAGTGTTAATTTTTTTTTTAATTTGCATTATTATATTATATATATTATTATTATTCGTTTGACGATATTTATTGGGCAAAAAAATTATTATAATAAACATTTACCGACGCACCTACATGTTTCTTTTAATAATACATTATAATATAACTAACCTACGTGTAGTACCTACTTGATATATTACAGTTTTTACGTGATTCCGATTTGGTTAAATACTGCTACAGATTATAAATACTATATTAAAAAATAGTACGACTGTAATATGACTGCTTCATTTGCCATTTTTTTCGAAAATTCGATTCCCGGGGTGGAGTAGTGTGTCGGAAACGAGAGTATGTGTAGTGTATTCATTTATAGATACCTACGTTTAATAGGATAGTAGTACATTTCAATAAAATTTGTTATTCACCAATATAATTATCTATTTGTTAATTTGACTTAATTCTCATAATTAAATAAATATACATGGAAGGTATATTTTAGAAAATATCCAATCAGAAAATTAGATTTTGTCGACTTATTTGTTATAACCGCGAAAACATAACAATGATTACATTGATTACAGTGAAGCCTAACATAAAACACCTGATAACTGTTCTCTATAATTATCAACAAATACAATTTTATTACCTCCTGTATACTTTTTCATATTTGAACGGCCGTTTCGAGCACTTTTCGCTGTAGGCGGATTGTCCGTTCGGGAATCAAATTTCACCCGAGATGACTGATAGCTAGACACTCAAACTCAGAATCCGAATTTCCGATTTCAACACACATACGAGAACCGGACACACACGCCCGGTGCATGGTCTGCGATCCGACGTAGTCGGATTGCCTACCTGACTAGCTACTTGCATACGAGCGACTTACACCCCCACTGCATCTGACACTCGGGAATCGACTTTCACCCGAGATGACTGATAGCTAGATACTCAAACTCAGAATCCGAATTTCCGATTTCAACACACATACGAGAACCGGACATACACGCCCGGTGCATGGTCTGCGATCCGACGTAGTCGGATTGCCTACCTGACTAGCTACTTGCATACGAGCGACTTACACCCCCAGTGTCCCCCACTGCATCCGACACTCGGGAATCGACTTTTACCCGAGATGACTGATAGCTAGACACTCAAACCCAGAATCCGAATTTCCGATTTCAACACACACACTCAAGAACCGGCATACACGAATGGGGCATGGTCTGCGATCCGACGTAGTCGGATTGCCTACCTGGCTGGCTGTGTCTTACGATCGACTTGAATCGCGTGACTTACGACTAGACACTCTTCCGAGTTCAAAAATTACCGCTTAAAAAGTGCTGCCAACACGACAAAACATAATACCCGACGATCCCCCTTCCCCCCGCAGGCTGGATCAAAAAACCCAGCATAGCCGACAAAGATGCACCACCGCCCACACAGTCTTTCCGCCGTAGGCGGGATGACAAACACCGGAATCTAGTATATATAATAATTCTATAGTATCTTTATAATTTAGTGGTAGTGGTGTAGTACCTTCTTTATCATTTATTTTTATTTCAGTAGGTAATTCATTATTTGGTTTTTACGTGAGTATTTATCGAATATTCGAATTATTACAGTGTACCTACTCATCAGTCATCACGAGTCTCTACTCTCTACCGATTATAGTGTTATACAGTACCACCTATACATGTCTTTCACTTAAGTCAAGCGGTTTGGAGACAAATACAACACCATGGTCTTGCAAAACAATACAGTGACGATGTACAATTTTCTTTAGAAGTACGAAAATTAGCTGCACTTGCATTTGTACTCGTCGATAAAGTGATAGAATCTTTTGAATTATTATTAGAAAGCACATATTAAATTGAAAATGAACAAATGTTATCACCACTAATAACATATTTTGAAGGCACGTGGATTGGCATTTTGGATAGGACTATAGGAGAGGTAATCGCCGACCTCCATTATTTTCCATTGAAATCTGGAACTGTTATGATAGGTTACAAGAAAGTTTACCCAGGACTAACAATAAAATAGAGGGCTGGCATAATGGGTTTTCAGCA